CTGCGGGCCCTGCCCCTGCGCGTCCGGCGGCCGTGGCACTCAGGGACGGGCACAAAGCAAAACACACTTAGGTGCCACATGGTGGGAAGAAAAATCCTGCCATTAAAAGCGTTATTTTCTTTCTCAGACGGTGACAGCAGGATCTATCAGCTTTAAAAAGGCAACAAAGAATTGAGGAGAATAAAGGCAAAACCGTATCTTTAGCAGAGCAGGACTAACATTTCTTTAAAATACTATACTGATACTGTTATTTAGTTTTAGAAGCTAGCAACTGACAAAGACAAGCCAGGCTCCTCTGAATGCAAGATAAATTTAATTATAGTATTTTCTAATGCCCCAGTGATACCCAGATTACAGTCTGTAAGTCTGCAGTGCACAGTCCGCAGCTGGTTTATGAAACCGTTTTAAAAACAAGGATTTCTTGGCTTTTGTGTGGCTACACTGATGATACGCAAGGATCTGTGTGTGTTGGCAGTGGGTGTTTAGTTGGAGGGCCGTCACCACAGCCCAGAAAAAGCTGTGTTTGCCAGGGGCTGTGGTTCTGGTCTGGACTTGGCAGAGGCAGGAGGGAACAGTAGCTCTACCAGCTGTTTTTAGGGTCTGCTGTGAATATCCTGGTATTTCTGTTATGTGCCCCGTGGCCAGCTGAGTTCAGGGTCCTGCTGTAGCACACAGCCAAGTCAGAACTGATCTGGTACCATCTTCAAGCAGTCTATATCGACTTTGTCCCTCCTGCTAAATTTTGAAATCCGTTCTAGGCTTCAGAATTTCCCCGTTTTCAGACTAAGTTTATTCACAGGCAGGTCATTTCACTTGTTCCTCGGCCAAGAGCGCTCATAGAATTGTACATAGTTCCTTATCCTTGCTGATGGTATGTTCTCCATGTATATGTATGCACATGGATACATCTTTGCAGAATGACATATGTATATATGTATGCATAGAATCATTTTGATGGGAAAAGACCTTTAAGCTCACCAAGTCCAAGTATGTATTTATAGAGCAGAGTCACATTCCTTCCTAGACAAAAGAAGCCACACTTGCCAGCTTCTCTGGTGTGACACAGTTTTGGTTTCCTGTATCATCTTTGGCTTTTCCTGTACTTGCTGCCTTTTAAATGTAGGATACCAAAACTGCAGATAATAATCCACAGTTTGCTCTTTATTTCTAAAGCTTTTGTAGCTGTTAAAAAATGGCCAATTTCTGAAGTTTTCAACAAAATGCGAATAGTGGTCAGGTGCACCAAAATTGCCAGGGGGATTCCATGAACCAGGGAAGAATGGGGAAAAAATTATAATGAAAGGAGTATCTCAAAGATCAGTTTTGCTAGTCTTCAAATTTCAAGCACTGATGTATTTGGGGGCATTATTTTGAAAGTCTGTAGCTTCATGAGTACCATACTAGGATAGACATCTGTAACAATTTATTTACATTTTAATTTGTAAGTGGGGATCTTGGGCACATGAACGTGTTGCTTATTTTCCAGTCCATGTATTGCAGGCAAGTCTTACCTGTGTCTCTGTTTTTCCCCCTTCTTTTTTTCCTGCAAGCTTTTTTCATCATTCAAGAAAAAAATATCAATATTGGTGTTTTTATTACATGGTTCTGGTGAAATGGTATTTAGGTGCATGTTTTCTGTATGTAAGAGATCTCAGTAGTTTTGATAACTGGAAAAAATCAGCTCACTATAAATAGGAATGTGCCACCCTAAATTTAATGTTTTTGAAAAAGTGGGGAAGTCAATCGATACTTTAAATGTCTGATAAAAAGAGGTTTAAAATTAAGGCACTGTTTGAAGCATGGCTGAATCTGTGGAACTTGAGCTTAAAAGACAGTGAAGACACTTTGTTTTAAGACTATATTTTTTTTTAAGGTTACTGAAATAATATTAGTGCATAATCCATATAAGACCAAGTAACTAGCTGGATTACTTCCACAAAAGAACATTTGTAAAACTGAGAAAAATACACAATTTGGGGTCAGTGCTATGAGAAGCAAGTTGCATGCTAGCTATGGAAGAGTTTTGAACCCAGGATAAACTGTATTTTTAAGTATAATAATGATCACTTTGTCCTGTTTTAATGTCAAGGTGAAGACTTTGCATGGCAGCCTTACTCTGTCAAGGCTCTGAAATTCCACAACTTTACAAAACATAGAAGAGTCAGGCTGTAGATGTTGGGATGGCTGCTGATGGACGTTGCACAAATCACCACTTCATGCACTACATGATTAGGGTGGTTCTGAATTCATGTGGCTTAAATGAAACTTTCCAAAGGAGAATATCAGAACAAGGAAGGAAGTCTTAGTGTTAGCTACCTCATGAAAAAAATCTGGACTTGTTTTGCCAATTGATAGGGTTAGCAGGAAGGACACAGACACCAACTTAATACTAGAAACAAACTTATTTTACTCTAGTTTATAGTAGGGGGAAAAAAAAAAAAAGAATAAGAAGCAAGGTACAGAGTTAAACAGGGTAATGCACCTAATCATTACTACTTGGGAGAAAGCAGAGTGACTAAGAAAGATACATCACCAGTTCCCCAAATACGTATCATCATCTAGATCCCATACATCATCTGGGGAGCCCTCTCACAGCGAAGGATTTGGAGAGCCTTTCCCTGGCAATTGGGAAGTCCTACACAGAGTGACCACTCATAGGTGAGGTCTCCATCTTTGCTTTGAGAGGGTCCTGCTTTTATACCATCTAACAAACAAATTATGCAGACAGAAAGGCACGGTAACATCTGGTGGTTAAGTTACACTTCACATGGGGCACATCCTGGATTTGTCCAGGATCTGAGATATGTCTGAGGAGCTACTATGTTGGTATTCTGCACCTGGCTTCGAATTGTAGAAGGAAAAGTCTCACAGTCTTATTTCATGCTGATGTGATACAGGTTGGTAAAAGAATCTCATGGTCGTGTTTCATGCTGCTGTGGTACAGGTTGGGAATTTCACTCAAAAGTCAACTTTAATTTAAGGTTTATAATTTAAGCCTTTGTATATCAGGACTGAAAATATTAAGTGTGACATGTCTTTTTATTTGACAACAAATTCTCCCTCTTAACCGCTGGCTAATCTCTCTATACACAAAAAAACCTGTGTAAGAGGAGACACTTGTGAAGAGAAATGATCTAGAAGTTTTGCATTCTTTAAAAGAGTTCAGGCTCAAATTTTAAAACACTGAAGGTAATGTCAGGTCTTCATAAATTTTGTTCCTCTATCAGATTTTCCCTCTGGGTTGGAGCCCTCTGTTACTGTAAAACTACTGTTTTTTCATTCTGTATAGTAACACCATGCATCTCTTCAGAGTAGTTTTAAGGACTATGGTTTACTGAACCGGAGTAAGTCTTTCTAATGTAACTAGAAGAGTCTGATTGATGGGGGTAACTTGTTTTTTCTTCTTCCCTGCTTCCTCAGAATGACCACCTTTTGCGTGATGAAACTTCTATGTCAAGCAACCAGAAATGAGAATAGATACACAAAAAGATTCTTTGGTACTCTCCTAACACAGACGCCACAAAAAAGGGTCTTTTCTCCATTCTGGATGGTGGCACCTGACCCTAGAAAGTCAATGGTTTTTGGACTTAGTCAGCCATTTTGCACAGCTGAAAAATCACACAAGGAACCAAAAAGGACAGCAGCATTTGGAAGTGTTGGGAGAAGAATTCCCTATCGGATTTTGCATGTAATCAGCCAGGATGGAGAGAGCTTAGGAAACATGCACCGAGCAGAGGCACTCAAACTTATGGATCAACATGACCTGAAACTGGTTCTCCTTTGTGAGAAGGCAGAACCTCCTGTGTACAGACTAATGACTGGGCAGCAGATTCATGAAGAACAGCTTAAACGCACACAGAAGAAAAAGGAAAGTCCCAAACCAGGTATGTGCATTGTTGACACTACAACGCTGAGCGCTTTGAAAAATGCTGCATTAAAAGTGGTTTCAGCAGATTAAATCCTCTTACTTGCATTTGTGTAAATCCAAAGCAATGTCATTGCAATCCATGTTATTAAGGATTTGCAGTGGTGAAAATAAAATTTTGGATTAGTCTCTTCTCCCACAGAGAAGCCTTCTATTGCCTTCTCGGGATTTACTATTTTGGTATCTGCTGGCTTTTCTTAAAATCTATTTTTATTTAAGTGAATATAACTAGACTCTGGTTCCACAAGACTCACTGAATTTGTGTTCTTTTAATAAAGCATAAAGTGACAGGCAGTTTTTACAAACTGAGCACCAGATACACCAATATAATTACATAATTTTGTCACCAGTAGTCATGAAACATTCTCTTCCTAGCTTGCTGCTAGAAGACCAAGTCTGGAGCCCTTTCTTTTACAGAGAAAGAGAACAATTTTTGCAATATTGAAATATTTCAGCATCTTTCTTAAGTCAGCCTGCTCCAGCAGTTTAGCAAACTGAGTCTGGCAAAGAGGTTTTAGGAAAGGCATCTGACCTTGTATCCTCTTTTCTTATCCTCAGGCTAACAAAGGTATGAGTGCCTTGGATAGAGTTCTGATTGTGGTAGTGAGTTTTTCTGTTCAAGAAACTACAAAAAGATTATTCAAATGATAACTACTTTAGAGAATCTTTAAGGGGGAAGAGACCACAAATCATTCAAATATATTACAAGGCCTCATAGTTCCAGTTAAATATTGCACTTCACCATTCAAGGAAATGGGCTGGAGATGAAGAGCTATCTAACTCTAAAACTTTCACATTCAACTATGCTATATGCAGAATGCAGGAATTTGCACACTAAGTCTTTAATTCCAGATCCAATGCTTACCTGTTTATCTTTGTTAGACCTGCATTGTGGGTGGTATGAGCAAAACTGTAATTAAAATAAAAATACTTTTAAGCCTTCTGACCCTGAAGAGACTTCCCTGCATGCCTCAAACATGCCTTCCGTCTCCCAGTCATGGCAGTGAGTGTGAAATATCAAGTCGCCACCTTCTGAGGTGAGAGCAGTGCATGCTGAGACAGTGAGACTGGGATGTTCTGCATATGAGAAAGCAGCACAGGGGTAGGGAGTTTAGCAGACAAAGCTCCATAGGCTGTTGAAAGACAGTAACTAATACTGGTTTGTCAGATGTTAAAGCCAACAGTTTTAGTTCTGTTTTAAACAGGAATGGTTCAGAAGGAGTTATCCTTTTCTTCAGCTATTGCCAAGAATGACTTGGAGACCAAGACTAAACAGATAGCACAGTGGATTGAAAAGAAATACCATGTGAAAGTAACTATCCGGCAAGCAAAAGAGAGCAATGCAGATATGGTAAGTGGACTCCTGAAAGTTAGACCAGTCAGTTTCATGGAAGAGGTGTACTTGTATTGACTTCCCCTAGTCAGTACTGCCACATTTTTTTTAGTATATCCTGTACTGCTAAAATAAATGAAGGTCTAGGTCCTGTGAAAGTAATGGTTGCCCCACCAGAAGCTGCATCTGTTAGAAAAATAGTCCCACAGAGACAATTCAGATACAGTGCTTTCTTAAGAATGCAGCTACTGTACTGGCTTTGACAGCAGAGTCTACGCAGCTCCTACTCCTTTGCTGCACCACCTTAATAACTGGGATAGTGAAATTTTCCCGTCTGTGCCTTAAGCCAGCTCACTCACTGAAATGTTTAACAGTACAGTTTAAAAAAAAATTTAAAAATTACCTGGATTATTTCAATAACCTAACTGTTCTTCTGAAGATGCATTTGTGCAGCTGTGGCTAAAGTTAATGTGGAAAGCTACTGGAATGATGTTCCAAGACTGGCCAAGTGAACATCTATAAAGATGTTGGGGAGCTAATGGCAACTTACTAGGGTAACTGTAGGGACTTGAGATTTGTCTTCATTGTCATTTGCACAAATGGCATTTTTATAAAGATTCCATGTAGGATTTTTTTTTCCTTTTAGTATGTGTAGTGAATTTAGTTTCCTTTATGATTCTGTCTACTAAATTGCTGGAAAGAATTGTGATATCACTTCATCCAGAAGGAACAAAATTTCTTATAGGAAATTGAATTCACAGGGAAAGGGTAGGAGGAGGAAAAACTGCATGTGGGAAGGAGCAGAATATTTCATGATACAGCCCAAATTTAGGTTGTCCTTAAATTTAAAAGCTTAATTATGAGTTTAGGAGTTCACCTTGTTACATGAACACACTGTATCTCTCGGTTAATACTGCTGACCTCAGAACAGTACTGCTCCTGAAGAGGAAAGCCCCATAATAATATGCCCAAATCTAGTGGAAGAGGAGGGTGGGGAGGAGTCTGATGTGGTTGTAATCACTTTCACAAACACCTTTAAACAGCAAAACAGCATGAGTGAGGGATTCAACCTGTGTGTTAGGAAATGGCTTAAGCCCTTTGGTGACTTTCCTAAACCTGCTTATGAGTAAAGAATAAATGGTTAGGAAAGGACAAGCTGAACTGCTCCAACCAGGACTAGCGCCTAGCTGGTTTCAGCTAACAGCTAAAACCACTGCAAGGAAACAGTGTAACTACAGAACAGCCTGAAATATTTTTCTACCTGTGTTTGTACATTTAGTCCCCATTTTTCTCCCTTTCAGCTCATGCTTTTTGATCAGATTTTGGAGACTGTTTCTGAGAAAGCCACTTATCTTTCCAAGCCAAAAGTTACTAGAGAAGGAGTGAGTACCTGTATTTTGAGACACATGTCTGACAAAGAGTTGAAAGCATACCAGAAGATGGAAAAACAGAAAAACAGCACAGTAAAGAAAGATGAAAATGAAGATCTGAAGTGAGTTGCATCAGTGACTTTATGAAGAGGCATAAACAATATTAATTTCTTATTTAAAAAAGACTGTAAATTTAATAAAGTTGCTGTTGAGCTTCCCGTGAAGAAAGTTGTCTCAGTTAATGTTTACTGCAGAATCAGAATTTCAACAGTTGGTATTTCATTTTCCACGGGCTTATCCATTCTCTTGCTTTCTGTCACAACCGCATCCTTTCCTGGCTGTACTTTAGGAGGAATGTAGCCGCTCAGACGAGAGGCTAAGCTCCTCTTAGGACGAGAACGCTTTGCCTGGCAGAAATAAATCCAGAATTAGCAACTTAATATCTATGGAGCAAATGCTTCTACTGAGTGGGGGAAGAAGAAATCAAATGACTAGGCCAACACTGCATTTTTTAAAGGAGCTTCAGAAGTTGCGAATCTCCCAAATTAAGTAGATACCTGGCCTGTTTTCCTGCTCTAAGTCACGTTCTAAAACATGTAATGTTTACCCTCCTCTGAAGTAACGGGGTAGGGTTGAGATTTCAGGAGTATAACTTACTTTCAACTTCAGCTTTCTCTTTTCAGGGTCATGTACAACTGTGTGCCTTACGAGGCTCTGCTACAGTAACATAGAGCAAGGAGAAAAAAAAAA